TTTCAGGAGGTGCTGCTGCATTATACCAGTGGACTGGCTGGTTGTACATGTTCTGACATAAATATAGCTGACTTCCATTGCTGACATTGTAAACGTAATTCCATTGACACTTCTGAAATAACAGGTGGACTCCGGCTCTTCAGTCTCTGTGTAAGAAGTTATAATTAAACAGTTATTGTTTTGTATTTCTCTAATGAAACGAAGTTTTAGTGTTTCATTAGCATCATTTAATCATGGGTGCTAGAGGTGAATTCTTTGATATAAAAATATTACTGACTAAGCAAAACCCAGTGTAATTGCTTACAAGTTATAATGTGAATACATCCTGTGCTTACCTTGTAGGTTAGGCAAATGGAAAGGATGTGACGTGGGTGGTACTTGTAGCATCTTTATTATGTACAGCCTTGCTCGATGATAAATGTTGTTCCTCTGCTTTTACCGTAGAATGTGGCTGTGATGGCTCTGACTGGGATCTTTTTCCTGTTTTCCCTCAATTTCTAATAACCTGGTAGAAATAGGAAGAAAGAGACACCCTTGCCTAAACCAGATTTCCTGCTTATAATATTTTAGTTGCTTGATCTTTCTTTTTGCATTTAAAACATTGATTCTATCATTATACAATTTGATACTTTAAAATTCAACCCAAAAATGTAAAACTTAAGGTTTTAAATTCAAGTTCTGTATAATCACGTGTTAATTTTATTGAAAAGGTTTTAGAGCCAGTGCATTGGTTTTGTGCATCTGATCATTGCTTAGAAACTAGACAATTAGGGAATAGTGTGTTTCATGTGGTTTTAGGTGAGTGAGATGTGTTGTGTTTTCCACTTCAGAATTGCACACTCAGTAAGAGATGGAGCCAAGATTTAAAGCACGAGCTGGATTCCTCATTTTGCAGCTTGGTGAATATTACTGCCAGAAAATATCATAAGTTCTTTACCTTGACCTCATCATTACTTTGGTTTTTTAGAAAATGAGAACAAATAAAAGGAAAATCAAGAATCCAGACACTTGAAGTTGAAAATAAGTTATATATCGAACTTCCCCTTTATTTTTGGAATTATCATCTGAACTAGTTGAGAACCATATTTTCTTGTAGAGTGCTTTCTCATGCTTTCAAAAGGACTGTGAAAGGGCCGGCCGAGTGGCGCATTGGTTAAGAGTTGGCTTGGGACGCCAGCTCTGAGCAGCAGGGCCCCAGTTCGGATCCCACTTGAGGGCCAGTGACGCTTCACCCTCTACAGCTAAGATGGTGAACAGCAGCTCAACCTGGTGCTGGGCTGCTGTGAGTTTCCGGCGACGGCGTAGGCTGCAGCCCCTGTTGCAGTGGGCTGCCATTAGCTACCGTGAGTGGCTAGCAGCCGGCGTGAGCTGCCATGAGCCACCGTGAGTGGCCGTCTAGTGACCGGCGACAGATCTGCCTCACCTGGGAAGAGCGCAATGATCACAACATCAACATGAGCCAGTGAAGCAACGTGCTCCACAACTAGACTGAAGAACAAAAGGACAGCAACTTGTCTGTTCCCTTCCCCTTCCCCGATTCCCCAACACTGTTCCCCTTCCCCAATTCCTCAATTAAAAAAAAAAAGGACTGTGAAAGGATCATTCACACATTTGTGATTCCACCCAGGGTTGAAATAGATACCCAGCTCTTACACAGAAATACTGACTAATCAGGTTGGCTATGCCATCCCGTGATTGCAGTGCACCAAGGGAGAATTTGAAACTGCTATCAACAGATTGTTTTCTTGAGCAGTTTCCAAGGATATCTGAGGTCTAACAACTGCCACCTTCATTCCTGAATTTTAACCTTTTCCTCTCTCTTCTGAGATGTTCAACATGGAAAATAGCCAACATATTTTAAGTGCTTAACTGTGTGTCAGACCCTGTTCTAAGTGCTTCAACTCACTCCTCACAATAACCCTGAGAGATAGCTTCTGTTTAACAGATGAGGATGCTGAGTCACAGAGAAGTTATGAAGCTTGCCCACAATCATGCCACTGATTGGTAGAAGCAGGAAGCTAACTCGGGTGATCTGCCACTGGAGCTCATACTCATACTCGCCTGTATTGACAAGGGTAGCTTATAAAGTGGGCTGTTGTGTTCTTGTTTGGGGGATGGGAATTATTATAGTGCATTCACTGTGATGTCTGTGAGAGAACAAAGCAGCTAACCATTCTTAGTCAAGGAGCAAGGCCATGGGAAGCAAACCAAAGAGCAGTCTGGGAAGAAATGGTGGGACGTGGGGGTTGCTAAGAGCTCCCTAGGACACAGCTTCCACATAGCTTACTTGGGTTTGAGGGCAAACTCTGAGGAGCTTGTGGTGAGGAGGTGAGAAAAGGAAGGCTATCCACAGGGTTCCTAAGCATTCTGATCCACCCATATAAACTCCCCACCCTTCTCCACTCTGCTGTGTAGGAATTGCATCTGTGCCTTCAAATCGAGTTTAGCATAAGACCTTTATATTGTACATAGGAAAATAAAGGGACGTTAAACGGAATGCTTTTCCCAGGTCTCAGGGACAGTACCCACATACAGCTTGGCTTAAAAGTAGCCTACAAGCCTGCTTTCTTTCTTTGTCTTCTCATAAGATTTGATATAGGTATTATGATTTCTCTATCATTAGTCAGAGCTGTGTACTCTCAGATAAATGCATACTTTTACACGGTGCCGTTCTGTCTGAAGGGCCAGTCAACTTTTCCACCTTTATGAGCTACACTTGATGATAACGTCTGAAGCCATTTATTGAGCTGCCTAGTGTGTACCAGGCACATCCTCATTTAGTCTTTATAACAACCCTGTGAGATAAGTATTAATTCTCTGTTTTATAGATAAGAAAACTGGGTCTTGGGAAGGATGTGTCCAAGGC